GTCCAGCCCCAAATAGAAGGACAATCCATTGTTCCTCACTGGAAGGGGCACTGCACTACATGACAGTGGCCATTCAGTAGCAAYCATGTTGCAGATTTAAGCCTTGTAAGAAGTATTTGAATATAAATCTCTGCCTTTGCAACCAGACCCCATACAAATGGAGATCTCAGGGTCCATTTCACATATTCCCTGGAAGAGACTTCAAGCAAACAAACAAGAGAGGAGAGGAGAAAGGGAGAGAGAAGAAAGAGGAGAAAGGGAGAGAGAAGAAAGAGGAGAAAGGGAGAGAGACAAAACACTTAATTTGCAAATAGCTTTGCTATAGGCTGAAAGAGTTTATAGAAACACAGCTGGTGAGCAGCATAAAATTCATTAAAAATGAAATGCCTAAGAAGCACCTCTGGAAATCATAGAATCACAGAGTCTGTAAAATGCATCTCACATAGCCCTTTTCCTTYTCCTCCTCACCCTGCACACTGAGCAGGAAAGGCAACTGCTGCCTGCTCAGACACAAACCCAATTCGCACCCCAGGGCTGTAGCTCAGCCAGGCGCAGGCTCTTGCTGGAGGCGGCCACCCCATCCTGGCAGAGGCCAGCGCGGCTGCRGCCTCTGCGAAAGGGCACGCGCTTGTCAAAGGAAACAGCGGCACAGGGACTGCCAGAGCAGCCCTCCCTGCCCTCCTCACTCCCCTTGGGCCTCCACACGGCAGAGGCACCTGGGGCATTAGCTGAAACGCTGTGTGCTGCTTTCCTGGGGTAGGCGAGTAAGGGAGTACCACAGCCTCCCCGCTTACTACCCAAGCAAGGAAATGCAGTTAAATGCAGCTAGCAGATTTAAGGGAGGTTTCAGCTGCTGTTTGCAATCTGACTGTATCCTTCATCCCCTTCCCTGACGGAGCCTGGGAAAAAAAAGAATACCCTTCTGAAGCCAAAGGAGGCCAAAATTCAGTTTCCCAGAGCAAGAAAATTAAATAAATAAAAGTAAAAAAAGATCAAAGATCACTGTACAGATATTAGATATTCTTTGTACTTCACAGTCTCACTCCCAAAACCCAAAATCTACAAAATGGATAAACTGCTTGGTAATTTTCAGTATAGTTATTGAATTTCACAGAGTTACATTTTAAAAGAAAACTATTGCATGGTAAATTAATAATATTTTTAAAATGTGAAGCTTTCCAAACTGTTTTGTGTTTTATATTTAGGAGAGATTTAATTTATAATCTGCATACTATATACTAGCTTTAACAGCATTTTATTTTGAAGAAATCAGTATACTTGACATACTTGCATATTTATGTGTTTATAAAGCCACGGTCCAGCACACACTGCATTCCTACCTTGGCTGCATCCATCCTCAGCCTTTTAACAGCGAAGCCCCTTGCGCAGAGCAGCCTGCACCACAGCCCTATAGCCTGGCGTTTGCTTCAAGCTGTCGCCTGCAGCTTCCCAGGAAACGCTCTGGAAGCTCTCGCCCCTCTCACATGGAAAAGCCAACACAAGCTCTTCTCCAGAAATCTGGTTTTAAGTCAAGCACATCTTCAATKAAAAGATATGGTACAGTTTATGACTTAAAAACATGCACGTCATGCATCATGATGCTGCAGATGGGCCAAGGACAGCAGTCGGGACATGTGCGCCATGTGGGTACAGGCACAGGGCAGCTGTGCACGGTGCTGACAACAGCCGAAGGTGCTGCTGCTCCAAGCGTGAAAATGGCTGCTTCCCATGACCTCCTTTGCCAGCACCCTCGCTCCTGGGCAGGGAACCTTTGCCTGCTTCACAGGACAGCAGAACTAAATAACGCAGACGCAGGTGCCAGGCAGAGGCGTTGCCTGCAGCCCCCACATCACCGCCGCACACCCCGCGGGTGCTCACCATGCAGGGCTCCACGCGCAGCCGCTGCCTAAGCAAGTCTTGGCCTCAGAGCCAACACAGCTCCACAGGAGAGACCTGGGTGCAGGGCTGGGGCACAGCTGAAYTTCTAAGCAGTCTCATGTCACCCACAAACCTGCAGCAACGCTGAAGGCAAGTTTGAATTTCTCACTCCGCCTCTAAATCCTGCACTTGTGCAGAGGAGTTTCTTTGCAYCTCCCACTGGTTGCAGTTTTGCAAGACAAATGCTCAAGGACTCGGCCTGGGAGTGAGGACCCATTTTGCCAGCACGTCCCTGACACCTGCCCTCCAGGGACGGGGCACACGAGGGGAGTGCAGCCCCCAGTCTCACGGCGCCTCTGGTGCGTTGTGGAGTGTGCACCTCAGGGCTGTCAGGCAGATGTGCAGGCACTTCTCTCATCACCCATGAAAAARGAAAAGGCTAATAGCCCAGCGCAGATCCTTCATTTTTCTCCAGAGGGAAGCTTCTGCCCAACTTCAAACAGCAATTGCACAGATGAATTGAAATTCAGAAGAGCTCAGTGCAGCTCTACCCTGCTGATACACCCGCTGGCATTAGTTGAAGATACTCCAGATCTCCACACTGAATCGAGAACAGGCAGGTGAAGTGCATGGGGAGTTATTCCAACTTCTTATGCAGAGAGCGAGATGAAGAGCCTGAATCCTTCCCATCCAAGGGAGAAGGGCCCAAAAGCCTCGTTAGCTGCCTGAGGAAACCCCACCGCGCTGTGCATGCTGTATATATGTTTTCCATGCATTAAAGTACAAGTACTTCAATTCTCTTCCAGCAAACTACTAAAAAAATGTAAACGCTAACGCACAAGGTTTCCTTGTATCAGCCTCAGCAGAGGAAAAGTTTTCTTCTATATCATCTTAAGGAAAAGCTGATTTGTGCCTATTGCAGAAAAACAAATGCTGGAGAAGGACCCATGCTACCTTGCAATGCTGCTGAGGTTAGTAAATCCCACTGTGAGCTGTAGAAATAGGCTGGCTGCAAAAGCCAATGCACTGAGAGACCCGAAGGCCACCAAGTTCTTTCACCCCAGTAGCATATCCCCCTCCCCACCACCAGCTCATTACTGCTTCTTAGGACCAGCTCTTCTCCCACCTCTTTTAGCATCTCTTTCTTTCTTATGTCTGTCTGGCTGAGCCATGCTCTGAATTGCGTTTTGAAGGTAGAAAGGATGAGAGGGAACAGTTTTACTGCATGAAAAATCCACTTAAAGGCAGCAGAGCCAAACCATAAAATACATAATCGGTAAAACACTTCTCCATATGTACCCATTGCTGCTTTTGGGATGATTTGGTTAAAAGCAACTTTGAACAGCTGCTCAGTCACAATACGTTAAAATGTTTACATGTACATGAACATCTCTATGTGCAGAAAGCTCCTCAAATGCCTCATTTTCTGCAAATTCCATTACATGACATCAATAGTAGGGAAGATTTTGCAAGTATCGCTGTTGTACAGAGGTTCAGCACACCCAGGATCTGCTCCTCAGTGAGGTTGCAGCACCAGCATTTTCTCTTGCACGAAATCTCAGTGCTGGGGGGGCTGCCCGCTCCCAATGCGCTTCCTGGTACAAAACTTGGGCAGCACTCGCACCCCCAAGCGCCTCAGTTCTAGCTTGCAGGGAGCATGAGCTCATCTGGTTCCCAGCCCCGGCAGGGTGTTTACGAGGCAGGAGCACRGAGCAGCCGCGAGCAGAGCGTACCTAGCGATGCCAGCAGGCACGCGCACGCAGGCTGCTGCTCTCAGCCATCTCCGTATCAGCAACTGCAGGTTGAAGCCGCACAGACTGCTACAGATCGAGCTTGCTGCTCAATCGAGAAGCAGCACAAGTTGCATCGTAATTCACTGGGGGGAGGAAGAAGGGGTCAAGAGAAAAAAAAAAAAAAAAAAAAAAAANCACGCAGGCTGCTGCTCTCAGCCATCTCCGTATCAGCAACTGCAGGTTGAAGCCGCACAGACTGCTACAGATCGAGCTTGCTGCTCAATCGAGAAAGAGCACAAGTTGCATCGCAATTCACTGGTGGGAGGAATAAGCGGTCTTGAGAAAAAAAAAAAAAAAAAAAAAACGAGATCCTACTTTTTTTTTTCTTTTTTCTTTTTTAAAGGAAAGCAGCTGGGGCTGAGTCCATTCGGCAGTATGAAAGCAAGGATAGCAGAAGATGCATCACTCAGTTCCCTACATGTGACGGCTGTGCCTAGCACTGACAGCCAGATGGGCATAAGGAGCATCGGTGACTATTGACATCACAGAGTGGGTTTCCCATGAAAATCGCACTAGTTTCCAACTGGGGGAGGACGAGGATCTCCCCACGCACAGGGAGAGGGAAAAAATCACGCAAAAAAAACCCAACAAAAATCCTCCCCCATCAGGCACTCCTCATTGAAGACGCAAATTATGGAACAAGAAACTGAGCTGCGTGATGCAGCTGGTGGCTGTGGCGCTGCTCCCACTGCCTCCGCTCCGCAACCCCCAGGGCCTCCCCRCTGCGCTGCGGGGCAGCGCACCAGGCACGCGTCCCGCGCACACAAACACGCACCCGCAACACACACACCCGCCCGCGATCCGCGCTGCCGCCTGAGCCGCTCGCGGGCCCAGTGGGGGCGGCCGGAGCCGCCCGCGCTGCCCCCGCGCTGCTCTGCGCGGCCGCACGGCGCCGCGGCTGCGCGTTGGGGCGCGGAGCTCCGCGCAGAGCGGCTGCGGAGCGCCCGGGACGGGGGCTCTTGCCCCGCTGCCGCCCTGTCCGCGCCTCGAGGGGCGCAGCGCGGTCCTGGCCGCGGCCCCGCCGCTTCCCARCGGGGTCTCCGCGCTGCCGAGCACGGAGCCGGGCGGTCGGGGGAGCCCCCGCGCCGGCCGTGCCGAGCAGCGCTGCGCCCCGGGCGCCTCCTGCGCGCACGAGCCTCGGCCCTCCCGCACAGCCCGCTCTTCCCTGCCCGGGAGGCTGCTCGCGAACGGGCGATGCATCCGCAGCGTGCCGGGYCCCGGGGGAAGGAGGCGCCGCCGAAGCGGAGCGGGCTGCGAGGGAGCATTCGGAGGCGCGGCGGGACCGGGGTCATCGCTCGCCCCGCCGCGGGGCACAGAGCGCGGACCCACCTGGAAGAGCCGGAGGATGTTGGCCACCATAATAGATACGGAGCTCCCCGACGCCCCGATCACACCGACTACTTTTTCGGGCTTGACGAAGACGGGCGGCTCGCCGTTGGTGCAGCGCACGTCGGAGGTGTCCTTCTGGATGAGCGCTTGCACGAACGTGAGCGACTGCTCCAGGGCGTACGTGTCCCGGGAGCAGGTGTCCAGGATGCGAGCGCCCAGCGTGACATTGGGCAGCAAGTCCGGGTCGCTGTTGATCTGGTCGAGCGCGTAGAGCATCGCCTCCAGCCTGTGGATGCCGTTCTCCTTTTTGATGTCCCCGCACGGCACGCCCGAGGGGCCCTTGGCGTGCACGGGGAAGAGGCCGCCCAGGGTGATGTCCCCCTCAAGACGGATGGAGTGCGGCGCGTACATCTCCTGCCCGCGGGCCACCTCGGAGAGCAGCAACTCGAGCAGGCAGCAGGGCAACTTCACCAAAGTGAGGAGCCGGAGCAGCCCGCCCATGCGGAGCATGGTGCCGGGGCTCCCCCGCGCCTTCATGCCGCCGGGCGGGGCGGCGACAGGGCCGGGGCAGCGCCCGCCCGCGCTGCGGCTGCCTCCGCCGCGGAGCCCTGCGCGCAGCACTGGGGCGCCGCGCCGCTCCTACCGCTTTAAATGGTCGCCCGGCTCCTCTCCGCCTCCCGCTCTCCCCACCTCCCGCCCGCTGCCTCCTCCCCGCGCCGCGCTCCGCCGTTACGCACGGATGCGGCCCGGACGGCCGCGCGCGGTGGCCCCGCCGGCCTTGGGCCCCTCCGCCGCGGGGCTCGCAGCCGCCCGGCCCGGTCGAGGGCCCTGCCCGGTGCCCCCGCACGGCGGCCGCGAGCGGCCCGCGGGATCCCTGCCGCGCGAGGGGGACCCCACGGCCGCGAGGAGSCCCCTGGCCGGCAAGGACCCGCGAGAAGCCCCTGCCTCCCCACGAGCCTGGGTCACCCCCTCAGCCTGCGGTACAGACCCACCACGTGGAAAATCTCACTACCAAGAACCGAATGTCCCCAAAGGAGACAGAGCAGTCCTAAAACTTTATTCGAATGAAAGGAGAGTCCACTGCAGCTTACCCCTGTGGGGTGTTGCAAATTGCTGGAGGATGCAGCCTCCTTTTATCATAATAAGATTGCCCAGCCAAGGTGCACCCTCTCCTTTTCCCTCTTGGCCAAGGTACTCAGAAGTTACAGACTTCCCAGCCAACCTAACGTGTTGCTCATTGTTATGTTCCCCCTCCCTGGCCACACATCGCATATTTAATTAAACTGATTTTATGCCTCACCTGGGTCAAAGTTAATATGCATTGGCTCATTACACTTGTATCTACTCTACCAGTGTTCATTCTAGGATCATTTGCTCATAAGGAACCCTCTGTCCCTCTTCCTGTCCTCCTCCGAGGTCAACGGCATCCAACAGCATCTGCGCAACACAGCCTCCCTGCCTATGCTCCCTCGTCCCGCTCGCCAAAGAGTGTAGAGAAACAGGCTTATTTGTAAAGACCAGGATCCTTTGTTCTGCTCAGTCCCCACTTCCCTCCCCCCCCCCCCCTTAAAATTTGTCTTTACAAACCTCTGCCTGTTCCTAGGTCACTGGGGACCATTGGCCTTTCCTGGGTCACTGAGTATGACTACCACTTGCATTCCCTTGATCACACGCTGAATGAGCTGCATAAAGCAAGGGATCACGCACGACAAAAAGAATAATGCAGCCAATGCACAGAGAAAGAAAAACAATATTCTCTTAATCCAAGGTCCTCTAGGTAGCCTGGAAAACATGCCCCATTCGCATCCTTTGCACGTTTGAACTAGTACATGGGCCAATTTTCTTATTTCTTCTGTTATTTGCTTTACCACTTTTCCATTGTCAACAATTGGGCTCATTCAACTTTCCATAAACTCTGCCACCTTTTGCTAACCAGTCCCTTTTGCTTGGACCATTCGGTGCCGGAAAATCACACCTCTCATCTGTGTAGCTTGGTCCACTAAGAGACAAAGAGCCTGAGCTGTTTGATTAGTTATAATTTCTAGAACAGCCTCTAATCTAATTAACCTTTTTAAATTGTAAATTGGTTCTCTTGCTCCATAAATTGCTTCATGAGGGTTCCAAGTTGCTGGTCCATACTGCTGTATAATTTGCTCTGGTGGTCACCCATCCCTGTCTCATTTTTGGCCACTTCCTCCAGTTAACCATTGATCAATTTTGAACAATTGATCGCTTTTCCCTTCTTAGATCATCGTATACTTTAACCTCCTAAGTGCTTTCCTGGACCTACATAACATATTCCTGCCCAATTTGCAGGTAACTTTGCCTGATGCCTGATGTCCACAAAACCAGCAATGACCTTTCAAAGGCCAAGCATCATCTGCCTTTCCAAGGGAAAGGACTGTCCCAGCTACCTCCAGCTTTTGGGACATCATAATATAAGGTATTTTTACAGAATCACAGGTTGGAAGGGACCTCTAGAGATCATCTAGTCAAACCCCCCTGCTCAAGCAGGGACACCCAGAGCACAAGCACCCTGTCACATCCAAGCAGGTTTGGAACATCTCTAGAGAAGTAGACTCCGCAACCTCCCTTGGGCAGCCTGTTCCAGGGCTCTATCACCCTCACAGGAAAAATGCTCTTCCTCACATGAAGATGGAACTGCCGGTGTTTCAGCTTGCACCGCTACCCCTTGTCCTATTACTGGCCACCACGGAGAGGCCTTCCTCCCTACATTCTCTCCCCAGGTACTTATACACAGTGAGCAGATCTCCTCCCAGTCTTCTCTAGGCTAAACAGGCCCAGCTCACTTAGTCCTTCTTCATAAGATAGATGCTCCAGTCTCTTAATCCTCTTTGATGATTTTAATCATGTTTTTCTCTCCATCAAAGGGCTCCCATACCACAATACACCCTTGCAGCTCTTCCATATTCACACCTCCATTCTCCTGCATCAATCTGCCAGGGGAAATTGTACTCTTGTTGGTACTGGACCAAAAACTTTGGAAATGGGTCCTAGTCCCATTTCGGTGTTGTTAGGCCCACCAAAACATCCATGCTACATATTTCTTATAATGCTGTTGCCTGCTTGGCAGTGAAATGTCCTGAGCTTGAACCACTGATCTGTGATCTGCAAACACCCTGATGCAACTGGCTCCCCCCAAAATAAAATATGAGCACATTGCCCAGGAACCATCAGTGAGTTTTATATGGGTTTGGTTCCCATTCCTTTGATACTTGGTACAATTGATTGGTTTACAACCTGGGTACAGATAATCACGTCCCAGAAACAGTGTCCATTCGCAGGTGCYCTTCCCCACATACACATAAATTCCTTTTTGCAGATATCAAATTCTCCACGGAGTTCCCTCTTTGGTCCAAAACTTCGTACAGTTGTAGACTTCATTTCAGTTACTAACCAACCACCTGGGTTCAATAGGGCTGGTTTATTTGTAAAGACACAGACTTCTTTGCTCGTCTCGCTGTCCCCCAGTGCTGACAGCAAAGCAGAGCCAGGCAGGGGCAGGGGAGTCCGGGCACAACCCTGGGCCTGGAGCAACCCTGAGGCCTCAGGCACTTGGCACCAGCACTACACACACACTCACACAACATTTCCAAGAGCAATCCCAATTTTGACACCCAACATTCCTTCCTTGACATTAAGGCGGATATCTGTGGAGGTTGGGTGGGGGGGAAAGGGGCCAAGCTTGCCTGTAATCCTTTTCTCCCACAGCCCCAGCAATGTGGCCAATCTCCTTCACTCTGAGATACTCGGATCTGCTTCGATTCTAGGCATCAGTATCTCATGGATGGATCACCCTGTTTTCATTCCCTTCCTCCCCACACTGCAATGCCCAAGTAAACACCACCTGTTGCCATTTCTTCCTGACCAACCCATCCCTGCAAGACCGAGCACATTTTTCGATGGCAAACCTCCTACACAAACACCCCATCAAGTAGAGCTGCTCTGCACTGCTTGTCTAACACAAGGCAGACCAGGAGCACTTGGTGCACACAGCAAAGGGGCTGGACCCACCACAACTCACAGCTTCTGCTCGCCCTGGGAGAAGCTGCCACCCTTGCTTGCTTTCCAGCACTTTTGAGTGAAGGCACAGTAACACAATGATGATTTTTTAAACCTTTTTAAGGCTAGCCAAATTTTATCTCCTAACACTGAAATGTTGCTGTCTAGTGGACACAAATGGAGCTGGCTGGAGGGCTGTGACCCATCTACCAAAGGCATCTGAATGTCTTAAAACCTTTGTATTTTATAATCCTTATCMTATTTTCCACCATTTTCCCCCTCCTTAAACTGTTTTCTTCCTCCACTTGGGTATGGCAGGAATCACCGTGACTCAGGCACCCAAACAGGTGTCACTTGGTAGCGGGTACGTACACGGAGCCCTGGGTCCAGACAGCGGGGACACTGGCCAGACCTAGCAGGTCTAACGTTCCACAGCAGGGCTAGGACACATGCAGCACGTTCAGCGGTCAAACAGCTGGAGTTCTCCATCAACTGGAATTTGGGGGCTTGGCACCAAACTTCAGTGTGTTCCCCAGACATCACAAGAAGCTATTTCATGGTAATTTAGGCTTTGTGATCCAGCTCATGCCATCGCTCAGGGCCTGTCTTCTTAATGATTCATCACTGCGTAAAAGCACAGCCATTCCTCCCAGCAAACTCACAGTTGTCTGACAGCCCTGYGTCCTGAAAGCAGGGAATTCGGGCATGGGATTTCTCCCTCTCTTCTTTTTGTTACAAGCACAAAAAAAGTCTGATCCTCATGCCAATGCAGCCAGCCGGGGTGTCCACGGCAGGGGAGCAGGGACGGGGCAGCGCACAGCTGGGCTGTGGGGGCTCTCGAGCAGACGGTTGCTGAGAATTTCAAACCGACACCAGCGACGTGGCGGCTGCCTCTGTCGCCACACAGGTTCAGACCAGTGGGTCTGAAGACCAGACCTCTCCCAGCACCAAAGCCAACCTGCAGCCTAACAGGTGCCCCTTCCCCCTTCGCCACCACCTGGATGCCCACACACATTTTAACTCATTTTATCAGTTCAGCTGCTGCTCAATTTAGGCAATTACCTCCTCAGCTCTTAGTTGGTAATGTCAGCTAYCGTCTCCCTTCTGTATCTGTATTTGCACAGTTAAAGTGCAGGCACATCAACATGTATTTTCTTCTTGCTCACTGAGAATTCCTGTCTGAGAGCCTTAGCTTTATTTAGCATAAAAATAAAATCTCACTCTAGTGGTGGCAGAGATGAGTTTGCAAGCACAACCACCTCGCCTTAAATGTTCATGATTCAGAAAGGATATAAATAAAAATAATCTTTTCTAATAAAACATATTATTTTATGTTAAGCTACTTCATGATTTTTAAACCTATGAAAAGCTTTTTTTGGGGGGAGCGGGGAGGAAGGAGGCAGATCTGCAATTACATTAAGCATATTTGTCCTCTCAAAATTACAAAAAAAAAAAAAAAAAAATCGGCTGTTAGCCTCATGCTCCTT